GTGATGGCTAGACGACTGGGTCAGAAGCATCTCCAAACCTGCAGCTCTTGTGGGGTGTTCCCGGTCTGCAGTGGTCAGTACCTATCAGAAGTGCTCCAAGGAAGGAAAAGCTCACTTCTAATTTAACATTACAATTATTATTAGCTGCTTCGTCAGCTATGATTATGTTATCAACTGTTCTACACTCAGTGTTGGTTTTTCTTGATGTACAGCAGGTGCCATCGCTGTGGATTTTTTTCATTTAAAAACTAGCTCTTTGATCTATTGTTAGAATTAGTTGGTTCTTTTGAGTGATCTATAAAAATTGAAAGGTCATAACGAAGGCTGCATCCACACGTGTAGGTTTACAGTCCTGATTGTAACCACCTGTCTTCAACTTGGAGCAACAATCTCAATGGAGCTTGTAATATCTTTCCTGAACAAAGTGCTCTGTGTTATAGATCTATTCTTTGCTTGTTCAGAGGCAATTTGTTCTGAGCTCCTTTCAAATTGCTGTCTAAAGTTTAGAGTTGAGAGGGGAGTTTGACATCATCTACAGTACTTGAAATAACTTGAAAATAGTTTTGTTTCCTTAAACACACTTAATTTATGTGAAACACTTTAGAAAATTGTTCTCTTTTGTGCTTGGATAGTAGTACATGTGATCATTATGGACCTGTAAATGAAACTTTCCATTTTAAGACATATGTTTCACATATTTACCTACCTGCTGCACAATTCCACACGGTACTTTCCCTCTCACATACTGCGGATAGTTCAGGTGGTTGCCTGAGAGCATCTTTGTCCGATAATTCATTTAGTAGACAGCTTGATTAAGCGGCCTGCCTTGAGAAAAAGACTGGTAGCCATAAAATTGTCTGGCTGCTAAGAAATCAATACATTTCTGCAGCTCTGGTTTATACAGCAGAAAGTGCAAACACAATACAACTCAACGTGCTTTAAGAATGTATTTTGAATCAGTTGACTACGAGTGCAGTAATTTTCTTAATTTCTTAAGTTCTTAATGGGTGAAACTGCACTGGGAACAGGTGAAATGATCTCAGCCCATTCAGAGATACTAAATGACCTGTGCTGTTCTGTGAAAATGTGCTCAGGGGTTGTGAACATGTTTCAACAGTGACATATTATGACCCTTTAAGTCGATATGGCAAACTTGTCATTGTTATCATTGATTTGGAGTCATGTATGTGTCCACATTGCAAACAAAAGCTGTTTAGTTTCATACCAACTGTGGGAATTATCTGGCTCTGTAGCTGCTAAATGCTCCACTATGTTCAGCAGTTAGTCTCTAAGGCCCGGACCACACTGACTGCATCTCCAGTGCGTGTGTGTGGCGGAACATCTTGCTTTTTATTTTGGCGCCCATATTCACAGATTAGAGCAGTCACACTGCCTGTGTAAGCAGCAAGTCTCAGCTGCACCCGTAGCAATGCTTCACTAGAGAGTCCAGGTCTCGCCTATTTTTATCACAATCTACAGTGAAAAGGGTTTGTTCATTGTCATATTGACAGTGTACCAGCAACGTATACACCTTTCACCACAGTTTCAATATATATGAATAGAATATGTCACAGACATGGAAAACTCAACACCTCCTGTATCTGTTTGAGATTAAAAGCTCTTTCTGTGGACAGGATCAATTTACATGTTTACAAGGCTTTTATTCTATGGTATTTATCACATTGTAGAAAGATAGGGCTGGCAGCAGCAGCTCCGTAATAGTAACACTGTGAGGCAGTTGTCATCACTGCTCACGCAAGCTGTGTGGACTAACTGTATCAATGTACACTGGATTTATCAGAGCTTTTTCTCTGAAAACATCTTCCTGCTACGGCAAAAAGTGACGCTACGAGAGCGGTCACTCACTATAAAGCTGAAGTGAGCTGCACATTCAGCTGATAATTCATCACTGTGAGACACTCTTTTCACATTAGTTTATTATTTGATACATATTATCATAAACTATTGATAATAGTCCTGTTAAAGAAATCAGTCACTGTTATGCTATACCCTGCTTGTATTCCTTCTTTTTGAGATAATTCCATAAATAAATAATTTTTTTTATCTATAACAGTGCATTGCAATGCAAAGTTACCACTGTGGAATATGCCATAATATGAAATATGGCATACTTATTGTTTGTGCATTTAAGAAGAAAGTCATGTAGGTTACTGGTAAACAAAGGTGCACTTTTAAGTAGCCAAAACAAACATTTGTGAATAAAAAATGTTACGATCCATATAACATTTACTTTTTGTTTGTGATTGTTGATCCTGATTGTGTATGTTTTTCCAGATCTCAATGGATTTTGGAAAGTAACCAGTATCAGCAGGTTCTTGAAGGCAACTTGATGTAGTAGCAAGAACATGACTGAATCTTATTATCTGATTTGCATTGTACCAACTGACAAAACCTTGTTACCTGTGAAGATCACTCTGCAATCTGTTACTTAGCAAAGTTGCTGGAGGTGAATTCATAGCTTGGTCAGTGGTGTGAACTGTGAATCTTTGAGCCCCTATAGGCATAGTCATGAATGACAGAGCTGGCTAACCAGTTGCAGGGCTTACGTTTTCACTGGTGTATCTCACTCTCTCTGCTTGTTGCATTCAAAGCTCAGTAACAAAAAGCTTTAACTTGTCCATGGAGGATTAAAATGGACAGTGATTCCATTTTCATATAAACATAATTTCTCTTTATTGATTTTGTGTGCTGCAAAGGAGGATATTGAGTTTATCCTGTTTAAAGGAAATCTGTTTTGTTGTAGCGTATAATTCATGTCTTTATGTTCAAAAACAATTGCTCTGGTGAAGTGCCTGCATTATTTATTAGAAACTGCTTTGTATTTGTCAGTGGGAAAAAGAACGGAAACGGTCTCGTAAATGAATGTGAGTGGTACTTTTTCCTTGCCGTACCAGAGTTTCACTGCACTGCCAAAATGTGAATAATTCCACCTCTGCACATCACATACACTCATCAGTGATTCTTAACATTTAAACAGGCATGAAACTTTTAACTTGTGCAGCTGAATGCCAAAATATAGCTTGTGCTGCAGAGCTTTTCCCAGAGGAACCAGCTCCTGGATCCCTTGAGCTACCTTTACCCGTCAGTGCTCACACCTGAAAAGTTCCCAGAAGGCAATTGTAATAGATTTTGGACAATTTAATTTTATAATCTTGCAGAGACAAGTTTTTATTTGAGTGTATTCTTTTGTAGTTTCTTTTTTTATCCAACAGAAAAAAAAAGAGATTGTAATGTTATCGGTAGTGAGGTGAAACTAATGATTCACACATTAATACATTCAGATGAGATCTCAGCAATGATTACAAATAAATTAACATCCCCAAATATTACTAGTAGCAGTTAAAAGTGTGGTTCACCACTCAGTGGGACAATAGGTCCATTGTAAGGGATCTGCCCTGCCTCCAGTACACTCTATACATTTCTTTTGACTGTCAAAGCAAATAATTCAATCTTGATTTACATTATTTTTTCAGTCTGCTGATATTAATTATCATCTGCCATTCTCCTGCAAAACTTTTTCCCCCTCAGTTCATTCAAACAGTGCTGTTTCTATCAGTGTCTAATACAGCACAATGAAAAACAGCACTTTAGATAAGTATTTAAACTTTATGTTCATTCATGTTTCTAACATGCAGGCAGCATACCAGTCATAACCTGCAGACTTAGACTTGTTCATACTTAGTCTACTATGACTACTATAACTTTCACTATATCCAGAATTTAGTACATAATCTGATAATCGGTTAAAAAATATGACTGAAAGTTATTTCTCCTTCAAGTACTTGGATTTGGGGAGACAAAAAAAAAAACACCCATACAGACAAAAAAAATGAATGTTACAAATTGATGGAACAGAGGCCAAGCTATCCAGAGGTTTTGTTCCAGCTGCGGGTTGAGCTAGAAAAATCCTGCAATCACCATATTCGCATCATAGTGTCTCTTCATTAGACGTCGTTCGACTTCCCCCGCCTGATAAATGCCTGTGTCTGTCAAACTCCACACCTCCAGTTTGTAACACAGGATTTATGTTCTGTCATTGTAGTCCCAAAAGACCCCCGACAGTGGCTTTCACATGCAGAGTAGTACTTCTCATGACAACTAAACTGAGCTTGATGTGTAAAATTGTTCCCCTTTATTCTCCTTCACCCTTTGTTAAATTTACCCATTTTTCATTTTGCTTTCACAGTACCACCGAAAATCATCAACTTGTCAAGAGATATTGTGGTAAATGAAGGTTCCAACGTTACCCTGATGTGCCAAGCCAATGGTAAACCGGAGCCTTCCATCAGCTGGAAACTCATCTCCCCTTCAGGTAACTTTGTCTGTAAATAAGTATATTAGCTACAGAGCAGCTTTCTGTTATATTCATGCGTTCTTCCTAAATGTGTCACATTTCCTGTGCTTCCGACTTAATTTTCCTCACCATCCTTCCTTCAGTCTTGCTCTCTTTCCCTCACCCCTCTGTGTTTATCGCCCCATCTTTGACTTTGTTTGACCCCCGGTGGATTTCTCGCTTCACTTATTACCCATCATTACCTGTTTCCATATCATCATTACAACGTAATTGTTCGCAGGAAAATAAACTGACCCTGTTGTTATTGGACTAATTAATTAGGATAATAGGATGGATGTAAATGTTGTGGAGGGACTTTGAGTGACAGGATTAATGCAGAGAGCATTAACACAGCGTGGAGCATTATGCATTATACAAGCATGGTACGGCAAATATGTCCAAAATCGGGTTAGTTGCATTGTATATGTTCAAAGGCATTTATTTCTATTATTCCTTTCTTAAGGATGAAGCAAACCAAGTACTAGCTGCTATTTCTGTATCCCACTGTGTCCTTGCTTCACTTCAGCAGGCAAGATGTTTGCATTCATAATGAATTACATTGAAAAGCCAGAGCTTTTGTGCTTTCATCTGCGCTGTCTTTGTGTTGAAGCAGGGATCTGGGAATTGAAATGGTAATATGACACAAGTGTGACTGACCTGTCTGTAAGGAGATAAGCAGGCATGGAGAAGTGTGTGTGTGTCTGTGT